CCCCCCCCCTTAAAGTATATAGTGTTTTTTTTTACCCCGCCATAAGGTGGTGGAAGATTTCATGACTCCCCCTCCCTCTTCTCTCAAAGCCACCACAAAAAACCAGTGTTATTATCTGCTTCCTAACCCACATGTCGATAGGTTGAAGGTTTACAATATAATACGAATCTGCTCTTTGTTGTAACAATATACGGATTCAAACGGTATCTACAAAAAAAAAAGATCTATCAGATAGGGAAAACAGCCTTCTAAGAAACGAGAATAAGAGAGGAGAACAAAGCATGACAAAATCCATCATAAACAACTGTTTCTGCTCAGCAACATTAGGTAGCTTTAACATACAAGTAACTCATGTATACTTTGCTTGGCCCTGAAAATTAGTAGCGATAGGCATCACACCTAGGCAATTTCGATTACTTGGACAATAAAAACCTTTTTGTCGTACCTTTGTTTTGAGCTGCGAAGTTAGGAGGGCAAATTCTTTGAATTTAATGCAAATTTGTGGAGGCGAGATAAGGGCCTAATTAGAAGCCTACAAACAATATCACTAGGTGTTACCTTTCCGTATTCCGCTCAGTGTTTCACTTCAGTATTAACCCGAGGTAAATCTGCGGCTATCATGGTAAACTTAACCAATGTCGGGCTTCTTGTTGCCGACAAGGGGTGCTTAAGAAATTTAGTCTTGCTGTGACGTGTTTTTATTCACTGGAAAAAAGGCAGAGTCTTCCTTAAATTAAAACGAACTAAGAGCAAGTAGAAATCTCAAGTTCCTTTTAAGTTTAATCATTTAGAGAAACCAGCGGTAATTAGATAACGACGTAATATGTGATAACACAGTCTAGAGACTGTACGATTTTACGCTGCTATCTGCGTTGATGTACATACCGTAAGATTTTAAGCCGTTAACTATCGGCGTAAAATCTCTCAGTATGCATATATACAGACTGCAAAAATTTACGCCGTTAGTTACTGGCATACAATTTTACTTATACACATTACCGATTTTACGCTATAACTTTAGGCGTAATTTCTTTCACTCAGTAATGCGTGACGAGCTTTCATACTACACTTCATCATTTTCCTAAGCCCTCCAAAATTGCCAGCATGCATGTATTAATTTCTGACGAAGGGCTAACGCTCGAAACGTCAGCTTTTTTACCCTTTACGGTGGCTAATTTACGTTTTCAACCCAGTTGTTAACACTAAATTACCTGCTATACTCTCCCACCGACGCAGCACCACAGTTTCTTTAGAAACTTACCCCTTTATTAATTTTATGCCCCTCTTGGAAGCTCTTCCCCAGTCTTCTCTCTTCTTGGTTCTAAGACGTATGATTCATTCGGTAAATATGGCACTTTTGGAGGTGATTCCCCGTAGCGTAGTTGCTTAAGAAATTCATAAAAACGATGCTTTAGTAGTCTTTGCCCTTATACAAAGGTCTAAGAACGATGGGAACCCCTAACTATGCTTACAGATTGCGGAAAAAACGTGACAAGGTTTTAAGAGATTTAGAGCCAAGGAAGATTTTAAACCTTCTTTACCAAGAAGAGGTTTTCGAATCGGAAGACATGGAGGAAGTGAAAGCGGGGGGAGCGAGAAATATACAAGCCAACATATTGTTGGATAAAATACTCCATTCGGGGGATGAAAATATTGCTACGTTTGTGAACGCTTTAAAGAGAACTCAACTACATCTTTACAAGTTACTTCAAAATCCTGTTCCCGGAGAAGAACTGGCAGAAGGAGGTTTGTGTTCAATATTTGAATATTTTGCAAAGATTTTCACTTTGCAGAAAGTGGAAACGTTGACTAAATGTTTATCAGGCTTAATGTACGACTTTTGTCACGTTGAGTTCAAAGGTTTGCCTCTGTAGGATAGCAGAGAGTGAAAATGTCGCCTCTCGAGGGACAGGAATGGAAAATGAAGACCAGTGAGTAATGTTACGCCTGTGTTGCGACACATAAAGGACCCTGGTCAGCATCTAGTTGCAATGTTACACGATTTCTGGGGAATGTGCAATCTTACTCACGGTGATGATATTTCTTGGGGCAAAATTTCACCATAGAATTGTATCCCAATCAAGAAAAAGTATGCTGTGATAAAACCAAAATATGTACACCCAAACAGAAATTTTTTTCCTCCTGAATTCTGGTCACAATCAGTATTTGAAAACAGTGGGGAGACAGGCTGCAGCTATATTCCAATGCTAATATGTCTTTGAAAATTATGCAGATGAACTGAATGCATCTCTTCTGGAAATCAGTTTTAACCTTAACCACTACTTATGGGGCTCAGAGAAATGACATGTGTCAAGACATGGTTGTTTGGTGTGTCAAATCTAGGGAGTCATTTGACGAGAGCAGTTTTCTTCATCACCACAGGAGTACTGAGTGTTTCTTGTGACTGTACCCAGCCTTTTAGTATCATGGGCTTTCACTGATACAATTATTCGCCATTCCTCTTCCCCCTTTGTCCTTTGATACAATATTTTATTATCCTTTGATACAATATTTTATTATCCTTTAATAAAATTTTCTATGCCCTCACCCTCGTCACCTTTATGCAATTTATAGCCCAAAAGGTTTTCCATCAAGTCACTCAATCTCACTCTCACCACTCCTGTTTCCTTAAAAAAAGAAAGCTGTGATTTTTGGGTGGGTTAATCAACCTTTTCAACCCTGGATTTGTTTCCCATATCATAACAGTGGAACCTCCTTTCAGGGGACACCTCTAAGACCAGGGTAAATGTCCCCTAAATAAAGCTTTTCCCAAAGGAGAGGTTCCACTGTTTGTTAGAGATTAGTTGGTCAGTGGCTTACTAGTGACTGGCCATCTTTGTAAGTTACTTTTTGACAGTTACTCTAACTTTTAATTTTTTTTATGTTGCAGATCGGAGGGTAAATCAAATTACAGGACAGCTTTACACGACTTCATTGAATACCCACCATGAATACCCCAATTACATTGGCAAAGGTCTGTATATATATATATATGTCTACAGGCATATACACCTTAAGAGTTAGGATATAATATGTACAGATATTTTGTGATTTGAGCAGTATTTATCCAAGTCAGGTAGATGCTAGGAAAGGTATGAGCAGTGAGCAAAATATCCACCTGTATTTTATGTTTAGAACATCAAATTAGGGATTTGTTGTTCTACTGTTATTTTCAGTTTTTAGTGTTATAGATTTAGCTTCTCATTTAATAACAGAAGAAAACATGACACAAACCAATCCATGAAACTGTTCTTTACAACCAACAAATAAATATGATGTAAATAAAATTTTATTGCTTAAGAGTCTGTCTAAAAGATAGGTAAAAATCTAAGCTTGGATTGTTCAGTGAGGCCATGTTGTTGCTCTGTGTTCTGTCCATATCTTTTTTCTGTTCAGTATGGTCATACTGTGGTATATTTTACATGCTCTTTTTGTTGATTAGGGTAAAATGGTATAGTAGTAGAATGATCGAATCTTAATACTATGTGAACTCTTCTTTGGGATAATCTCTGATACTTTTGAGCCTAAAATTAGTTATGTTCTTACAAAGTTATTGTGAAATGTTGGACAATGGCAGTGAAAATAATGGGAAACTGACTCTAGATGCCTGACGAGTTCAATTTAAGAAAGGACTCTTGTGCTGTCTGCCAGAATAAATATGACAGAGTAGACATTATGCATAATAACCATGTGGTCACATTATGTATACATGAAATTATGTGAGTTAATTACAATTGTTGGTTTTATTAAAAGGATGTATAAATCTCTAGGCTCTGAGATGCTTGTAGGCACCAATGTTGTGAATTCACACTATCTCATTGTATAATATTTTCATCCTACATGTTCTTGATAATTACAATATCACAGAGTATTATTTGGTAATTGTAAGAACTCTCCAAAAAGCCCTGCTAGATGTATTTATTTGTTTAATTTATTTTGTTACAGCTCTTAGTCCAACAAGAATGGTCCCTGCAAAGATTGGCAACACTGAGAAGGGAGCTGCCTATTCTCACACTTCTGATGCACATCTTGTAGAACCACCTCCAGATGAAATTTGCAGCTTTGTGAAACCAACAGATTGGAAGAAAATACCACCTCACATCTGTCCAGATTCAGAGAAAGTGTACCCTATGACGTCAAAGCCCAGAGGGATCGCATTGATCATTAATAATGAGATCTTCCCTGATAATCCTGAAAAGACAGAAAAAGAGAAAGAAAAAGAAAAATTAGAAGTCCGCCAAGGCTCTGACAAGGACGTCAAATCACTTGAAAAGTTGTATGAGGCTCTGGATTTCAAAGTGAGGACTGAAAGAAACAAGAAAAGAAAAGAGATTTTGGAGATCTTAGATGATGTGTCTCATCAGGATCACTCGCAGTACGATTGCTTTGTTTTATGGCTGATGAGCCATGGCCAGAATGGATTATTCTATGGCTCAGATGGAGAGACTGTCCCAATTGAGACTGTGCGGGACTTTTTCAGCAATGCAAACTGCCCATCATTAAAAGGCAAGCCAAAGGTCATTTTCATCCAGGCTTGTAGAGGCCAAGAAAGGGAAAAAGGTGTGGTAGCTGATGCCCCAAATGCACCAGCCCCTCAACCACCACAACCTTCAACAAATGATGATTTGTCAGGCAGCACTAATAGTGAAGTTACTGACAAAGGTTTTACTTTTTGCATCAGAGAAACCATTGCTAATCATGCTGATATTCTGATAGCTAATTCAACCCTCAGTGGTCATGCAGCATTCCGAAATCCTGTGTTGGGAAGCCGCTTCGTACGCTGTGTTGTGGAGGTCTTTCAAGAACAAGCTGGCTCTGAGGATATTCTGGGCATGCTCACAGAGGTTAACAACAGGATCAGTGGAATGGGTGAAATCGATGAAAAACAAATATCAGAACCAACATCAACCTTGAGAAAGAAGCTTTACTTTTGGCCTGGATTGTAGCAGATGTATAGGGGTTACAGCTGTTAGGCAGTTTTGTAGACATTCCTTGATCCTTAGTTGAAGGAGCATTATGCTTCACAATCAGAAACACTCTTACATGTATCTCCAAGTGTCTTAGAGTACTGTGTGCATGAAACTATAACACAGATCACATTTCAAGATCCCAAAGAGCAGCTAATCCTTACAAAAATTGTCATCAATTTTTCCATAAACTAAACTTAAGAGGCCATCACCTAGATTTGTGTTCTAACATTAAATAACTGGCTGCTTTCCTGTGGAAAATGTATAAAACCAAAGAGGGAAGTACAAACCGTAGATAAACATGGCAAAGATTAATATGGATGCAGACAAAGAAGCTAGAAAAGTTAAGTGTAATTTTTCAGGATGGACAAACCATTATGGAGCCTTTTTGATGAATAGAATTCTGCATATTGGCAGAAGGATAGAGTAGCTGACATCTTATTTAGGGGCATAAAAGTCTGGGCTTTTAAAGTTGGCTTTATATATGTACATTCCAAAGTGTCTGTTGGCACACTACAAATATTTTACAATTGTAGAGCTGTTAAGTCTCCAGTATTTAGTATGAGACTCACATGAAGTAGTGTAATCTTAGGCTCTTAGGCTGAAACTACAATCCCTCACACATTAAAGGTTTCTGAAATTAATAAACTTTTGAGTTTGGATCAGCAAACTGCTGCATTAGTTATCAATTATCTTTCTAAAGTAGATGGATATTTATCCTTGTTCCCTTTGTACTCACTTTGCACTCTTTCCAAAGGTAGAAACTCTTGTGCAGAGCCACTGTTACACCCACTGGTCAGTGCATTTAATGACTATTGCACATGCTCACATGCTGACCACAGACTGCAGGTAAAGTGGAATCTCTCCACAAATGTTCAGAATAAAATAATACAGGTCTTACAATTTTCTCCAGGGGAGTATGACTCCTCACCCCCCCCCCCTCCCTTAGAAAGGTAATGCCCTCTTCTTCACACTTGACAAGTATGAGGATGTAAATCTCACTCAGCAATGATCTCAAAATTTTGTAAATTTGTCACTCAATGATGTGGTCCTCAAGTTACAAACTACATGCAGATGATCTGCATCTAGTTTGTTGCAGAATACTGTTCTGGTTTCATGAAAAGTTGTAGTGTGCTAAAAGAATTAAACAATTTGGTAAGAAGAACATCTTTTAATTTTGTTTGGAAGAATTCAGTGGATGCTCAGAAACAATGTTTCTGCCCATTTGTTTAAAACTTTACCAAAAGGATTGGAACTAAGTTTTAAAAACTTTAGGAATGTTTTAATTGGGCTTAGTCCTTTTGAAATGATCTAGATGATAATTAAATTTGTAATTAAAATATTTTACTACCGAAATAACATTGGAAAGCACTGTAATTTGGTTAGTCTTAAGAACAATTCAGTTTTTTCAGAAATTTATCATCTATCTAATTAAAACCTTGGATCAGATAATGAAATGTTTTTATTTGAAAGAGCTCTTTGAACAGAAAAGAGGACTGCTCAACTGTCTTCTTTTATTCATGGCCCTCTCATGGCAAACTTTGCAGATACACGAGAAAGGAATGTTGAAGGAAAGAAATTAAGTACTATATACATGTATTACTGAAAAAAAAAGTGCTATTTTGAATGTGAAATGAAATTGGCCCTAATGTGTTCCATAAAAAAGGGACAGGACAGCTCTAAAGAAAACATTGATTTAAACTCCCAACAAAACAAATTATCTGGGCATGGCAATTGAAACATGGATGGTCAGTGGTGGCACACTGGCTTCATTTTTAATTTCCTCACATTCTGAAAAATAGCAAAAATAGCAAAAAACTCTTAAGTTTAAACTGGATTGCTAAAATCATCGTAGCCATAAAGTAAGTCTGCGACTTGTACCAGTAGTGCCCTCCTCCTTTCCTGCTCTCCCCAAATAAGGCTTTTCTAAAATGGCAGTCTAAAAATTCTCCTGCACTCTAGTGAGGGTCCCCTATCCTTCTTAAGAGAAGTGTGATTGGGAAATAATTTTTTTCTTGTGAATTGTATATTAAATTGTTCTTTTATTCATGAATTGTGATTGAATTAGATGATTGGATATTTTCATGTTATGTCATATTATTTCAAACAAATTCCTTATTTAAACATAACATGTGAATGAAGAGTTTACAAAGTACATGTATTGCATAGTTGGTTTTTCACTGGCCATTGTACACAGCCTTTTATGGGCATGGTAATGGTAAATTAAAAAAGGGGAAGAGCAGGGGTACTACATGAAGTGATCCAAACTAACTAGTAAGAGTTGCCTGTTTAACCCTTTAACTCCCAGTTCAAATTTGTCATTCTCCTTACTGTCAACCATACAATTCTTAAAATATTAGGTCAGAGAATTTAGTATTGGATCAACTAATTATTCCCAAATTGATTTTTTATTTATTCTCATTACTCATCTAGTTGATGTTGTATTGATATTGTAAGGAGAAATTCTGTCTTGGTCACTCATGGGAGGTAAAGGGCTAAGAGCAAGAGAATAAAAAATATTAATATTGTTGTACTACATGTCTCTTTAGGACTTTATCCCTTATGTGGGTACAGTATGTCAAACCTGCATGAAAGGCATCCTGATCATTCATTCAGTTACATTGTGTAGATTAGGCCATCTTTGTTCCTTTATTCACCTATTCAATTGGCCATACAAGAACTCTAAGCTATTCATGCACCATTTTGTTTTGCGTGACGAATTTTGGGCCAATTTATTTTTTGAAAATGTGTATATCATTCTTAAACGGCTGTGGTTAGGTTAAGACAGGACATGAATCAATGAAATTAAAGGCACAAAACAGGTTTGCGATAACAATTCGTAAGGTCTTTTATGTTAAATGGGATCGTCTCAAATTTTGCACGAACCTCAAAGAGTTATAGATATTCTTGATACGTGGAGTTTTACAAAGGGGTATAGGGGACCCTCTTAATTTACTTAATTTATGATAATAGTAATAGTTACTGTTGCTGTATTGAATGGTTTGTCACTTGATCCTGAAATATAAACGAAACCCGATTCAAAAGCTGTGCAGGCATATTTGGCAACAATCAAAGGCTTCCGTTAAACTAGAAAACGAACAGCACTAGAAAAAGGGGTAATAACGCAAATCAGCGATACTCCAGAAGTACGTTGTGTCAAATAGTGGGGGCTTTTATGAAGGGGGTAACTGGTACTTACCCATAACTCCTCTCTCGCTTTCATTGTTACGCATATACTTTACAATATTAACCGCTGAATGTACCTTGGTTTGCAACGTGGCGACCTAGACGTCAAGGAATTATACAGAATCTTGATCTTTCCTATTTCATCAAATTGGTGATTTGAAACATCAGACAATTTGTAATCGGGTGAGTTATTGATTGGTACAAAGACGTACTAACATTTGACATTGTTGCTGTAAGCTTGTTGACTTCTAAGAGTTGTTCTTTGTGTGTGTTTAGTTCTAATGTATCTTTATCGGTTTCGCGAATTATCAGGCAGCTGTTTAAATTTTTTTACCGCTATTAGAGACTCGTGGATGATAAAAAAGACACCAAAGGATCGCAGGTCATTGTTGAACAGTTTATTAAGTGACTCAAGTTCTCAGTAGTTGATGATTTTAGAAACTGACGCCATAATTTTTATCGTAATTCTGTGGCGTGCGATGACATGTTAACATCAATGAGAGGGGTATCCTGCGAAGTTCAATTTGATTTAGCGTAAAATTCTTCTGAACAAACATTCTTTCCCTTGCTTGATTTCAAATTTTACAGCCGAGTATTAACTGGTTTTAAAGATACCAGCATTTTTTCTTCGTATATGCAATGGTGACATTATTCTAAACCCCATGCTTGGGAGTCTTGTCGTGTCTTTTAAAGAATTAATTTTGCTCAACTGGAAAGTAAGTGAAATGGAGTTTATATCTAAGCGAGAAAAAAAATCAGTTCTTCATATAGTTTTATCCTTTTGTTTAAATTCGTTTCCGAAATGGGCATACAATTTTTGGATCAGTTGAAAAGTCCCTTGAGGTTGACACATGAGTTTCAGTTACTTTCTACAAGTGAAAAACTAAGCTTTTATTTCTCTCTTCTGCTCAGTCAAGACAAATTAATAGGTCTCTATGGAAATATAAAGTGCAATATGACATCAGAGGTTTTCTTTAAATTCATTGTATTGTGTGACTTAAAGCTTGAGAGTAGCAGGTGAACTCTTTGAGTGGTTTTCAAGTTTTACTTTGAAATTTGCCAAATGATACATGCATTTGAATGCAGAGTTTAAGTTACATTTTCTTTTGTTTCTGATCCATCAACAGCAGAAGATCAAGCCAATTTATTCTTCAATGAATACGTGAAGCAATCCCCTATGCATCTGTGTTACAGGATTGCTCTTTCAATATGTTATTATTCATTGTCAACTCTTTGCTTTTTTAGACCCAAAACAACAATGCAACATAAAGGAAAGTTATAATATTGACTAACAAAGACACATCAGATGCACATTATGCACATATATATGCTCATATATTTGCAAATATATGGATCTTACAACTTGTGAATGTTTGATAAAATTTGTCTGCAAAGTTAACCTATATGTGAGTGGTACTGTATAATGAAATGCATTGTTATTTGCTCTTAGGAAAGAGATGGATGATCCCTCAGAAGACAGTCAGCCAGGTCAGCCGGGTGTTGTCAAAAAGATTTTTATAACAATATCCCAGGTAAAAAAATTTGCTCTAAATGTGCACACCATTTGTTTAAGGATATGGCTGCTAAACAGGAGGATGGTACTAATGTATCTCAAGTCCAGTAATTACACATGAATTCAAGGATGGCGTGGAATTGATCCTAGAAACTTAAAATGATATAGAAAGTTGTTCAATCGAATAGTAATTTTTAAGTGCTAATGCTTCTGTTTTAGCTCAGCTATATAATGGTAATTTCATGTTCAATATCCTATAATTTGATAAACTCGTGTAATTTCACCACCACAGAGATACCAAACATTTCTTGACACAACAGTTCCACATCTTGCACTACGATGGATTTCAACTCTGGTTATGATACTGCTGTTTCTCGTCAGGGTACTTTATCTTCAGGTAAGATAATGTGAGAATGAGTTTAATTGCTACAGTTGATTCTCAATAGCTGGAACCACTTAACCCTTTAACTCCCAGATCAAATTTGTAATTCTCCTTACTGTCAACTATACATTTCTTATGATGTTAGTTCAGAGAATTTAGTATTGGATCAACTAATTATCCCCAAATTGATATTTTTCATTATTCTCATTACTTATCTGGTTAATATTGTATTGATATTGTAAGGAGAAATTTGGTCTTGGTCACTCACAGGAGTCAAAGGGTTAAGGGCATTGAACAATGCTTGAGCTAATGGGAGTTGAAGTTTGTGGAAGGTTAGACTGGAGTGACAGGGCTGCTTCAAGATAGTTCTAGTTTTGGAGTGTAGCAGCATTTTGTTAATTGTGTTTGTGGTTTTTTTTTTACCTTTCATCCTTTGACAAACATTGTTTACGTTACTGGGTTCAATTATGTAGAAATTGATATAGAGGGGAAATCAAGATATTCTTGAGTTTCCTGCAGATATGAGTTTTTGTTGGTTCAAGGGACAGTGCAGCTTAAAGACAAGGGCACCAAAATAAAAGGCTGATACAAATACTGGCATTGACATACAAGACAGACATACAGACATACAAGTTTATACTTTTACTTGTATTTGTTATTAGTATGTATAAGCTAGCTGCTTGTTTTCTCTGTTGTGGAATGGTCATTGTTTATTTGAATGGGCCTTGTAATTGCCTAAAAAACTGATAGTCAGGCCAACCTATTCCAAATGTTCTTTGATCATCTTTTGTTTCTTGCACCTGTGTTTGCTTGTTAACCTCTACGTTAACTTTTCATAGTTTCATTTGTGGTGAGTATGCCTTGAGTTTTGCTTGATGACCAGTAATGCAGTAACTTTAGGGGCATCATAGTTTAAAGAAAGAATGGTAATCAAATTATGTTTTCCTTTACTTTCAGGGCTGGTACATAGTCACATATGCTCTTGGTATTTACCATCTTAACCTGTTTATCGCATTCTTGACACCTAAAATTGATCCAGCTTTAGAAGAATTAGGTGAGGAGGACCTAGGTGTGTTTCTTTAAATAATTTTTATTTGATATACAGCACAGTACATGTTATCATAGGTTCACATACAGTATATTTTGTGACATACCATAGTTTTACAATTTTAAGGGGCAATGGCAGCTCTGTCTTGTGGAAATGACATAAAAAAGGATTGTGTTAGAATCATTTTTGGATTTACTGAATGTTTGGCTCTTCCCTCTTTCTTAAGTGGACATATTGCCACTGGCAAGGTCTTCTTTAAATTGGAAACGTTGGCCATTGTTGCCAGAGGGCAGGCAATGTCCTCTAGCTAGTTTCACCTAGCTGGATTGTGTTTGATGAGTGAAGTAGTAGGCTTAAACTGCGAAGTTGGTTGTTTGTTGGCCATTGTATGCAACCTTTTATTGGTAAGGTACATATAAAAATTGGAATAGTAAGGGACCTACACTAACTGATGAGAGTTGCCTTTTTATAGTATAAGAGCAAGAGACAAAAACTATTATTGACTTACTTCATGTCTCTTTGAGACTTAATCCCCCATGTGGGTACAGTATGTATGGTAAGCCTGCATGAAAGGCATTCTTATCATTCATTCAATTACATTGTGTAGATTAGGCCATCTTTGTCCCTGTCTAGTGCATCCATCTATTCAATTTTTCCATACCATAAAATGCTAATTTCTTTGATTCTTTCTTCTCAGCTCCATCTAGAGTAATTAGGGTAGTTTCTTCAGTTTATAATTTCCCTTTGACCATTTGGTTTGTTCACCACAGATACAGTGTAAGTATATCTCACATGTTATTACTGTTATCTTTACAGACGAAGATGGGCCTGAACTTCCTACTAAAGCTGATCAGGAGTTCAGACCTTTTATCAGAAGGTTACCAGAGTTTAAATTTTGGTAAGTCCTTTTTGAGAATGATAGTTGGCTGTATCATCCCTGTTTTTTTTGTTTTTTTGTTTTCTTTTGCTGGTTCTTACCACATTTTGACATCTATAACAGTGACTTAAGGTGTATATGACAGCTTAAAATTCAGTTCTGTATTTGTTGAAAATACAAGTACAGATAAGGAATTCATTGTGTTCAGAAGTAAAGAATTCAAGGATATGCCTTTTTCTATTTGGTGGGTGGGAGATTATCATTTTTGGAGTTTGTTTTTTTAGGTTAGCAAAGTTAGATCACCTTTTTCTGTTTTCTTTTTCAGGTATGGAGCAACAAGAGCTGTTGTTATTGCCATAGCATGTACATTTTTTGAATTTTTTAACATCCCTGTGTTCTGGCCCATCTTAGTCATGTACTTTATTGTACTTTTTATCATCACAATGAAGAGACAAATTAAGGTAAGAGGAATCGCATTTTGGCCCAAAACCACCTGAACAGCATTTATTTTGTTTTCTTCTTTTTATTTGCAGCATATGATACGGTACCGATATCTACCATTTACTTATGGAAAACAGAAATACAAAGGCAAAGATGAGTCAAGTGATGTGATGAAATCATAAGGTTAAAGGACAAAAAGTTATTGTTGCAAAGTTGTACAGTAGAATTTTTAGTTATGGCTAACAGGATGTGTACATCTGAGTTGATAAAAATGCAACCTCAGAACCTCATCTTTCATCGTCTGAAATTGGAGTAATTACTGCAATTATTAGTATTGATTTTCCTCTCTGTAGATTATTATTAATTTTGATCTAAAAAGTGTCAATGTTAAGGTCTGTTGGTTAAGGAAAAAAGGTTATTTTCAATGTCTCATTCATGTACCAAACTATAGGGAAAGTATGCTTGTCCTACCTTCACTCTTAAGACCTACATTTTCTGTGGTGTACCAACAAGGAGAATTTGTTTGAAAAGCAGTAAGCCTCTTAAATTGGTGATCATTTCCATTATTCTCTGGATCTTTACATTAGATTCAAGTGTGGTACTGTGAGGAAAAATTAGAAGGAGTTAAATTAAAGGTTATTACAGTTTACATAACACTGTACACTCAAGATGTCAGTCGTATCTAGTTTTTCTTACTTACGACTGTGCAACCATTTTATTCGGAAATTTACATTATGAGGCAGATTCTTAGATGTAAAAGAATCCTCTTGTTTTTAAATAAAGTTTATTGATATTAGATTTCTAGATGCCCTCTATTTCCCATTTTCTCCCTTGTCTATTTTGTGGGATAAGGTAAAAGGAGAAATGTACAAGTCTCACCATCCATCATTTTTTAAACTGCATACACCAGTAAGAATGGGGAAAAGATGGCCTTACCTTGATCTGCAGTATGTTTGAGGTTTCTGAAAGACAGGGTTGCTGTCTTTGCTGTCATGAATTTGGAATGTAGAAACATTCAGTAACTATTAAGTAAGATGATATGAACCTTTTACTCAGATGAATGGGTGATTCCTTATGGCTCACCTTCCTTGTAGATATCTTCAATTGAGATGAAGGCTTCATGTATTTAGGTCATAGAAGACTAAAACTTGGTGTGCATGTCCATTTGCGTTAAATTCTTCTTGTTTGAAAATTAAATAGATTTTCTTAAAAGTAACCAACTTAGGATAAGTCTTTTAATTTGTCTATAATAATTGTGTGTTCCTAAACTTTTGAAGTTGTTAAATTTCTTTTGAAGTGTTGTTTGTACTTCAAAATGGTTTCTGTTCTATTAGACTGGCCATGGCCCCCTTAATTCTTAGTTAAATTGAATGTACAAAAATAACTTGAAGCTGTAAAGAAATAGAGGCAAAATTTGTGGTTGAATCTTTATTTCCCAGAGTAGGCTATGAGAGAGTGATAGGTTGGTGCAAAACTCAGTAGAATGAAAAACTGTTTGGTACCTCTTATGAAAAAATGTGTACTTTGTTAGAATATTTGGAGGATCTGAACTTACTAGTTCAAAGAGGGACAGGATTTGTCACAACATTTCAACTTTTGAATGTTTTATTTTATATGTTATGAGCATTCCTCTATCATACAATATATAACTAAAATGTTCATTTTCAACTGCAAGCTGCAACCTCAATGGAATCAAGCCATGGAAACCAGGCCCCCTTTGCCTTTCTTGTTGAAGCTTGCAGTGGAGGGGAGCCTGCCTTTCAAGTCCTAACAAAAAATTAAGTTTTTTCATTTGAATTCTTGAGGTGAAACTTACAGTCAGTGGTATATGAAAGTTAAAAAAATGTTTTTAATGTTATCTCACATTGTCATGGTTATCTACAAAGCAGAATATATTAACAAGAAAGTTAACTTTGGAGAACTCCAAAGATTGTTTTTTCACTAATTTGTGTCACTTGCAATAATTATTTTAACATCTATAAACATCCGTTCACAATCACTGGATATGTCCAATTGGAAATAAATTAAAAAAATCAATTGTCATCTAACAATTAAGTAGAAACATTATCTCATAATTTGGCCAGAAGGGGTTGGGGAGCCTGTGCGGGGAAGTAAATTGGAGGAGAATCTATGGGTAAAGGAATATAAGACCTGCAATTTACATGATGGCAGGGAAGGATAATGAATGGGATTATTACAATTATTTTACAAACTCTGCTTTGTGTGCAAGTCATTTGGCCACACCTAGTTACTTTTTTACCCCCCCCCCCCAACTTCCAGATGAGATTAATATGTAGCTTCTCCTTACAATGCAATTGCATTATCAAGTAAAGAGGTGATGAGATTAGTTAAAGTGATCAGCTCTAGGTGTTATGTTCATTGAGAAATTGTTGATTGAGTGTCCAAAGTAATCCGTACTGGTTGTGCCTCACTATGTTCTATGATCGGTCCAGGACACTCGCGCCACCATGTCAGCCAGTCAAATGCCAAGTTAAAATCAATGGCAACTCCTTACATTTTCCCGCGCTTTTGTTTTGCGCCGAGTTCTCTTAATCTTTTAGAGGTTTTTCCTTCGCTCTGATTGGCCATTATGATTATTATGGGCTAAGTTTTACGATGCTCAAACTTGAAGCGCTGTTCGACACTAAAGGCTACTATATTACAACGTAAAGTACAGATGTAGGGAGAATCACCCATTGAATTTTGGGATGGAAGGATTATGGTAGAACCCTGGGTCTTTAATATAACAAATTCATCACGATGGAATCGTTAAGGACTAAATTACCTTGTTCAGAATAAAGGAACAAGCCTTTTGAGCGTTAAACATACATAACCAAAGGCTACCTGTCTAATGAATATAACTCGCCAAAGACGAAGAAAGTGTCGCTGAAAAATCCCCACGAGTCGAAGTTAAGGGGAATATTTTACATTATCTGAGCTTGAGGTCTCTTTTTTTTTTCCTCTCACATGAAAGTATAGAAATTATTTTTAGTTTCTTAATCCGGCTTTATGGCCAAAGTAGTTATGCCATCGTCGAATGGAAGTCAAATTAATCACTGGATCTTTTGTCGTGCGTTTATCGTCAGGTGAAAGTGTTGGATTTATCGTTGAAGTATGTTCGGACATTTTAACAGACTTCAGACTATGTGGTTCACTCCAAGATCATCCCTCGGGGAGAATTGTTTAAAGTTGATAGTCGGTCTCACGATCCTAAACAAGCAGCAAAAACGTCAAGTTAATAAAACACTCCTGAGTAACCAACATATTCAGGCAGATATAAACAAATAAGATTAAAACCATTTAGGGAACCTACTTTCCTCAGTCGAAGATTCTTTAAAAGTTGTTCAAGAGCACAAGCAGGCACTAAGAAGCCTACTGCTTCTATTTTTCAAAGGGATTCTGAATGCAGATCAGAGGGTGGAATAGAATGTATACATAAGCCCAAAATTAATTCGTGACGCCTGAATTTAGACAGAAAGGCAAGGCAAGGGAAGAGTTCAAGTTTCCCTTCTAAATTCGTGCGTGAAACGGAATAAAGACCATCCCCCTCCCCCTTTGCCATCCTCAAATCACGTATGACGTTTTCTCAAAAGGAAACATTTAAACACGTTCATTTTTGATTACCTGGACACGCCTGGCAACAACTCGTCGATGCCCCAATTAGGAGCGTACTTCTACATTGTCCTTTCGGGCATGGATCTCGTGAGCAGTGCGTTCGCCCGTTCTGTGAATCAAGGAACAAAACTGTCACACTACTGTAATCATCTGTGAAATCATGATTAATAAATACTCAGACATGTCATTTTAGGGAACAAGAAAAAGACATAAACAAGAGAAAACTGTGGAAAAGCGCACTATTTTTCTCCGCCAGGCAATGGAAAGGAACGTGACTGACTTGTAACAAAGCATTAATGTACAGATTTAGCCAAGCCTAAAAGCGGAGCTCTTTTTTTTCCCCCGCACGTCTAAAGGGCACAACGCCTTGCCCCAGCCAGGAATAGAACCCGGGTCGTCCGGCTCGGAGCCCAGTGCACTGACCGCTGGACTACTGAACAAAGCCGTAACGTTGGCGTGCCCGCGGTACAGTTGACCACGCATGTTAAAAGTAGTACCTTGTACGGTCGTACGGTCGTACATCCAAATTTTTTCGGCTTGATGGGTTACTACTATTTTGTATAATTATAGGGCTACGCCCTGTGAGCTCCGCTATGATTTCTTGACGTTCATAAGCTGACTTGCACCTACAAGTTTTTGCAGCCAATTACGGAACATAGAGCGCATTTTGCTTACCATAGTAAGCTTAACGACCAATCAAAGCAATCGCACATTATGGAAAATACTACAGGTGGCCGATAAAAATTAAAGGTAAAAACAAGCAAAATAACTGAGGCGCACGATTAAGTAAGTCCCAGTTGGTTTTAGTTTTGCATCTGATCGGTTGAGATAGAGACACGAGTAGTCTTGACCAATGTTTTTTGGCCGCCATTTTTCAGAAAAGGAAATGCAGTAAAAACCGTCTCACCTGGCACCTACACGTTATACATCTTGAAGAGCCAAATATCGGGAAATATGGCCTCCATGTTTGTCCGTGTCTATAGTTGCTTCCACGTAAAGTGCAGCCTAAAGATCAGAAATAAGTTGACAATAGATAACATTTCAAACTTTCTGTTAATTGTCTATGTAATCGCATCGGACCAAGTAAAATTTAAGGACTAACATCACGCTAGTGAACCATTCCTGCTAAAAAAAATTAATCATCAGTGAAGTGATGATACACTTAGTCAAAGTTATTAAGCCTTCTATAATGTTTTCAATTTAGTAATTTGCCTGGGGAAATTATTATTAATGAAAAATGCCGTCAGCCTCTTTTATAATAAGCAATAAGAAAGTAACAACAGTTCATGAATATATAAGTCTGAATTAATTTTACCTTTTCTAACTTTCTTGCCTCCATTTGATTTTGAATCCTCGTCATCTGGAACAAAAAGATGAGGATCTTCTTAGTATGGAATTCGTTCAAAAAAATTTCATTTGGTTTTTATTTTCCCCAGCTTTACTCGGTTCAACTATTATTCTCTCAATTCAGGTTTGCGGAAGTTATACACTGTAATATGTTACATAACGCTAATTGAAACACTCCTTACCAGGGCATCGCATACAGCAGTCACTCATGCGCATTTTGATTGGATTTTTACATCGAAGTTCTGGGCATTTCACTTGAGTGCATGATATTTCTTCTGATTTTTTCTGAGAAAAAATATGGGAAAACGTGTGTTCATAAATAAAAACAACGACTAAAAACAAACCTTTGAGCCATAATAGTAGTTTATAAATATTCGCAGGCGCATGTGATTATGTAAACAACCGCTTACCAGGCATGTGCAGGCGTGACATCTCATGTAACCAAATGGCTGTACATAGGGATACCACACAGCGCCAACTGGATAAACTTTTCTGTCTCTTTTTACATAGCATCCTTTCAAGGACGGACGCTGCCTCTTTTCGTAATATCTCACAACTTTTTCTTCGATAGCTGACAGAAAAAATTGATAAATGTTATATTTTCTACACCTTTTACCTCAGACAAACATAATTTCTCAGTCGGAAACATTCGTTCAGGGGTTGGGGCTAGGGGAGATTTTGTAGCAGGGAAAGGGTTTGTATCCTCACTTGTGTCTTAGTGGTATTGGAACATTTATGGTTGTTCATTTTAAATAATGCTTTTCTTTGACAAAGAGTTGATCACATGAACTCTATCTAGAATCTCTCTTTGAAAAACACTGAGCTACATGATTTTTTTTATATCATCAAAAATCGTTCAAAATACCTGGACAAACCGGGCAGCATAGATGAGGTAACATGATAGGTGCTTCTGTGCAGTTTAACCGCTGACACTTAAGAGGGGCACAAACAATTTCGCTGTCCTGTTGGTAGTTAAAACAGAATTGTTAATATTTGCCTAAAGAAATAGCATCAATTTCCAAAATTGAAGTTTCTATTTCATATCAAGGTACCTCACAAGTACACGATGTGCACTTATCATCTTCAGAGACCCACTTTTCTCCATCTGAATATATTTTGTCACCAAAGTGGCAAGAGCCAGGCAATTCGTTCCGCCCTCTAGGAGGAAGTCTCTTACTACAGCTGTCCTCGTTTAAGAAGACTTGGCTCCTCAGCTCTCCCTGTGGGACTTCCTCACTTCTCACTTGCAG